GAAGAAGAAGAAAAAGATACAAATTATGAACAACAAATACACATCTATCAACAAGTGAATCTAAAAATCAAGGGAATAAATAATCTGATGAACAGAATGAACTGGTGATTGTGATAGAATCAGGGACATAGAAAGGGAATGGCGTGTGCAGGGTGTGTGGTGGGGGGGGTGGGGGGGGGGGGGGAGCTGGAGGCAGCCAATCAATGTTGTGCTCTCACTACATTTCTCTCCCTTCCTCTCTCTAAAAATTAATAAACATTCTTTAAAAAAAAAAAAGAAAAGAAATATCCACATAAATTTCCTCATCTTGTGGCCGGCAAAGGAGAATTATTTTGAAAATTATGTAAGGTTTGCTTTGGATATGAATAGAACTTTCCAAAATTTATTAATCTAAGAAGCAACTTTCTTTATTCACTCCAAGGCTGACTCAAAAATTGTTCTGAAACTGAGAGGGGCATTTTAGACACAGCATAACAACTAAAGGCAAAGGTCAGCAACAGTTAAATTCAACATGACCTCGACTGGTAGAAACATTACCTTTGATAATATCTGAAATTAGCAGAAAATATTTATGTGAGGATTTTTCGTAACACTACTAACACTCTATCAACTATAGTTTACCATGAAATTTATCAATGCATACCATATGTTACCAATAGCACTATTATTAGTTAGTAAGTGAAATACTGTTTTAGTAATAGCATTGTGATTGGGGTAAGGGGTTTACTATGTGTATTTAATAATCACAAACAGGAAAAAAGAAAGCGTATCTCAAAAGCCTGTGTTTCTATCTAAAATAGCAAATGAAGCCTCTGTGTTGTAAAACAAATACACAAGCACAAGCAGGGTTGGTGTATCTACTCAATTAAAAAGTGCACCCAAATCTATGTTACTTGAAGCAAAAGTTGCAGCAGGCAAAAGAGCTCCTCAAACAATGGTTTCTTGCTTTTCAGAGCTAATGTAAATGATATGAAATACTTTTGAACAACTTTTACAAATTATAATGTCTATGTTGAAAGGTATGTTTTTAAAAAACAAACATGGTGCTAAAAATCTTTGAAATTACAGACAACGGAGCTATTTCTGCCTGCCTACACTTGGGAACTCACCACATGTTCAACACTTTCTGGCAGCTATACACACACATAAAAAAAAAATACAAGGAAAAAAGAAAGAGAGAGAGATATCATCAGAAACAGCCCACATTGAAATTATCACATTGTTTTTCATGCTTAATTTTTCCCCCAAGCAGCATTATAATTTAAACTCACAAAAAAACTAAATTAAAACTATTATCAATGCATGCAGCATACTAAAAAATTTTAAAATTTTTATTCTTATGCTTAAATAAAAATGAGAATCTATAATATAGCAATGATTTTCATGCATCAACACTCGTAAAAATATGCTATTGATTTTAAATAAAAATTTGAGCATAGTTCTTAAATAACTATTTTGTATTATTAAAATACTTACTGAAATAGTACTATTCTAAAGTGATTAAAATAAACATATCACTTATTTTATAGGCACCTATTGCTTGAAAAAATATTCCTGAAATAATTGTACATGACTATCAATGTCAGACATGCATAGTTTTAGAACAAAAAGTTATTTAAACAAGTAAACAAACACATACTTGGTTTCATCCATCACTTCTACTTCCGTAGGGGCTGTGATGGGTGCATTTGACCGTCCTGCAGTAGGGTCATCTGTGTTTAACTCTCCATTTGTAGAACTTACAACCTGCAAAAACAAACAAAACAAAATTATATATGCGCAAAGTAATAGGTTATACAATGATAAATATAATTATGCTTAAAATACTTAAATTAGAAAGTTAATATGAGGAACATAAAACAATATGTAGTTGTTCATAACTGAACACAGTAATAGGCCTAGCATTTTATTAAAGATCAAGGTTTTCCAGTATTTGCTTTTCAACTTCCTCTTTATCTTGAAATTTCTGTCTTCTGTCTCCTTCCTTCTGAATCCTACATTTATCTCTCAATCTCTTCCTTCTTGTATGCTCACTCTTTGGTACCTTGCTTCATCACGAATTATGTCCCTTGCAAACTTCAATATTGCTTCTTTCAATAACTCCTTCATTTCAATGTAATCATGCTCAGGTCTCCCTCTCATATTGCCCATTCATTCACCCAGTTGTTGAAACCCCAAATCCAGGAAACATTATGAGTCCTCTCTTTAACTGAAAGGCGTATCTAATTCATCAGCAAGTCTTATTGTATCCTCCCCAGAAATACATTCAAAATATATTCAGTTCTCCCCTCTTTATTATTAAGACTTCAGTCCAAGCCACCAACATCTCTTACGTGAATAAGGGCAGAAACCTATTAACCAGTCTTCCGCTTTTACTTGTATCCCCTCCCCCATTAATGTATTTTCCACACAAAAGCCAGAATGTACCTTTTAAGATGTAAATTAGGTCATTATAATTACCTGCTTAATATTCTTCAAGCACCTGACATCCCACTTCATTTAGAATAAAGATCCATATTCTTTACACCAATTTACATAGCCCTATAATAAAAGATATGAACCATGCCTATCTCTGATAGCATACCACTTTCCCCTTTGCTCAATAACCTCCATCTAATATTGTCAAGCTTATTCTTACTTTAAGGCCTGGGCATTATCTGTTCTCACAGCCTAAATTCCCTTCCTGGTTATTGGCTATCTTATCTTTTAGATCCTCAGATAATGGCTCTAAAATAGGCCTTTCTATCATACAATCTAAAACTTCCATGCAGACACTCTCTTACATATTATATTCTATTTTTAACTCTCTGTATAACATTTATACATGTTGATGTTTTTCTGATTGATTTTGTTTCTTGACAACCACATTCACCTCCATAAAAATTAAACTCTGTAACAGCAAGAAACCAGTGTTATTTCCTATTATATCTCTTTAATCTACCTGGCATAGAGTAGGCACTCAATAAATATTTGTTGAAATAAATGCAAATCCTAAAACAAGATAAAAACTGTAACAAAACTCCCAAATTTACTTGGTCCTACAAATTCACCATACTGTACTACTTTTTGCCTTCCCCCAAATTTCTTGAAAACAAATCTTAAATTTCCATTTCCATTTTTAGAAAAGTTTCCCGTTCACTCATTCCTTAAGTCCTTGCAATATGGATTCCGCCCCTACACCAGAACTCTTAAGAGTTTTCTTGTACAACGATTCCTAGAAAATATATTCAGTGGTCTTTGCTCAATCCTCATTTTCCTGTACATTTTTATCACTTGGCACTAGCTAGAGACTTTGGAATAAGATGGGTCTAGAATAGATTCAAAACCTAGCTCTACCACTTACCAGCTACGTTACCCTGGGGAAGATATCCTATCTTGCTAAACCTCAGTGTCCTCAACTATGAAATTAGAAACAGTAGTATCTATTTAGCAAGGCTAACTGAGGATGAAATTAAATCAGTATATAAAGTACAGTGACTGGCATGGAGTAGAGCTCAATAATTGGTGGCCATCATAATTACTGTCAGTTTCACCTATAATGATGGTTTCAACTATCACCTCTATATAAAGGATTCCCTGAGCCTAAAAAAGCTTGCCACTTCAAATTCAGTATTTCCAAAACCAAATTTATCATAATCTCTTGAATTTGCTATTCTTCCTATGTTTCCATCTTCCCAAACATTCAGGCTCAAAATCTAAGAATCAGCTTTGATGCTTCCCATACCTGATCTCTTTACGAGAAAAAAAATGTGAACATATCAAAGGCCTGGGTGCCAGAGTTGCAGCTGATGACTAGACTTAAAGTACTTTTTACAGAACCCCATATTTCTGAAATCTAATTCAAAAGTTCTCACTCAGAGGCTACAACATGCCAGGCACTGTTCTAAGAAATTGGAATAACATAGTTAACAAAACAGACAAACACCCCAGCTCTTGTGGAACTCATTTTCTAGTGTAAAGAACAGGTCCCTCTCTCCCCAACTTTAAATAACTAGAAATCAACCAATATACCTGGTTTAATTCAGGAATTATGGAAGTTCAATTTCCTGTATCCTATGTGGAGCATGTACTTAGAAATGAACTCTGCAGCAGCAGTCGCCAACCGGTGGTCCGTGAAGTCCAAATGGCTGGCGACCGCTGTTTTGCAGCATTTGCTTCTACAGCTGAAAACACACAAAACTTGCTTGGTCATCTTTAGAGGCAGCCCAAGGATGGAAAGCCCTATGTGAAAGTCTGCTTCTCTGCTTCTGGGCACCTGCTTCCTCCTTTCTGTCATTGTACTGAGTTCTGTGTTGATTTTTTTTCCTCTTTATTTTTCCCTCCTTCTGAAAATATTTTAAAATAATTACTTGCTCTAATTCTCGAGCACAATTTGGTTCTTTATTCTTAATTTTTAAATGTCAGAGCCACTACAATGAATTGGAAAGGAGCTAGAAAATAGAATTCTTATACTTTTTGGATTCCCCGTATCTTTAACTAGCAGAGTGCCTTCATGCACTAGATAATCAAGACAGTTCACTAAACAATTTCCATTGCTCTTCCCCTCAACATAACACTCAACAGGTTTATTTTCTTCCTTTGCTCATTGGCCTTAGAGCAGTGGTTCTCAACCTTGTCTGCACACATTAGAATCACCTAGGAATCTTTTTAAAATCCTGGTTTCTGGGCCTCATCTTCCGGAAATTCTGTTTCTTTGTTACTAATGTTGTGGCCCCACCCCATAACAAAGAAACAGAATTTCCAGAGGATGAGGCCCAGAAATTAGGATTTTAAAAAGACTCCCAGGTAATTCTAATGTGCAGCCAAGGTTGAGAACCACTGCCTTAGACGGACCCGACCTCAAATTATAAATAGCTCTACTAACATGCCTTCCCTTACTTTACCAGTAAGCAGCATAATTGAAAATTTAAAACTCAGGTGTTGTAAATTTCCAGCAAACAGCAACCATATATGTACTATCTATATATTTGAAAGCGAAGTGACCAGGACAGCAGAACGACCAGAACAATAGAAGAGCTGGCACTATGATGCACACTGCAGTGGCCAACCAGCCCGATGGGGGCCCTGATCGGCTCCCCCAATGCTGAGGCCCAGCCCCAGCAGGTCCAAGGGTCCCCAAAGGTGTGGACGGAGTCGGCGAAGAAGGAATGAAATGGAGACAGCGTTCAGTTGATCAGCAGCCTTGCCAGGATCGCTAGTCAGGTTTTAATGTGGTGTGTGCACCCAGAGGGCACAGCTGATATGGATAATAGCGGGGAGGAGGAGAAGGAGGCAAAGATGGAGGGTGGTGTGACATAAGTTCGGACTAGATGGTCTGGAATGCACACAGGTGAGTTCTGTGGAGAT